GGAAAGAGGAGACCTCTGGTGGTGAGTTGCTGAATTTAGCTTTAATAAATTAAAAGAAACAAGTGAAATGCAAGTTAAAAAATAACCACTACTAAATTACCACTGTGATAAATAATTTAGGAATTAAAATTATTTTAAAAATTCTTCTTACTATCATAACACAGCTTAGAGCCATAAGTTTGTAACAGATGTTTCTAAGAGTTGCTATATGTTCACGACTTAGAGAAGACCAGACCTCTAATGTGTGACTCAAAATAGGATATGGAGCATCCCCCAATTTGCATATAAACAAGTTTTGTTTTTAAGTGGAAGTTCTTTTTTTACATATGAAACATAATTACTTAGGTGGGCTATTCAAAACGTTGGCTATTTTAGTGGTCAAAAAGACTGAACTAGCCAACTCGTTCTTGAGGGCAGTAAAAGTGTGAAGAGAGGGGTGGGTGGTGTCAGAACTGGGGCGTTTTTACTCCCCAAATTATAACCCCACTTCACTGCAAATTCATCCATTTTTGGTGCCAATTCTTATTCCTGAGGTGTCTAGAGTCTAGTGAAATAGAACAGCAGAGCAATTGCTTAGGAATGAGAAGCAAAGTTTCCAAAAGCCACTCTTAGGCTAATATTGCTTGACACTCATTGAACTAATTTCACATAGGTTCTGACCTAGATGGAAGATGAACACGAATTCTTAGCTGAGGAGGGTGGTGGCTAGAACACAAATGTCTCTAGCCAAAGACATTACAGGGTGAATGAATGTAAGGTGAGCTCTTGATGTGAGATTATCTAAATGAAATTAATGTACAGTTAAGCCTAGGGGAGAAGGTAAGCAGAGAAAATTTTACAAAAGGAGCATGTGTATTTTGAGTTCTTTCACTTTGCTAAACTAAGAAGCACGTGCTCAAAATCACAGAGTAGTAAAAAAGTCACTATTCTGGGCTGACCCTTGAAAGCCTGACCACAGACCCTAGAACTGTATAATTCTGTACTCAACCTAGTAACAAATCAACTACATCCCATGCAATGGTTAAAATAAAAAATAGTGATAGTACCAAAAGTTGGTGACACTGAAGAGGAACTGAACTGGATCACTCAACATTGCTGGTGGGAATGTAAAATAGTACAGCCACTTTGGAAAACAGTTTGGCAGTTTCTCACAAAAGTAAACATGTGCTTATCATATGACCCAGAAATTGGACTCTTGGGCATTTATCCCAGAAAACCAAAAACAGGCTCGCACAAAAAGCTGTACACTAATTTTCATAGCAGCTTTATTTGAAATAGCTAAAAACTAAAAGTAACTCAGATGTCCTTCAATGGGTGAATGGTTAAACATGCTGTGGTACATCCATACCATGAAATACTTCTCAGCAATTAGAATGAACTATCAATACATGCAACAATTTGGATGGATCTCAAGGGATTATGCTGAGTGAAAAAGCCAATTCCAGAAAATTACATACTGTATAATTCTGCTTATGTAACATTCTTGGCATGACAAAATTTTAGAAAGGGAGACTAGAACGGGGAAGAGGGTGCCCTGCAGGAGAGAAGTGTAGTTATAAAAGGACAACCGAGAGATCCTGGTGGTGATGGAACTGTGCTGTAGCTTGCCTGTTGTGGATACAAGAATCTACACGTGCGGAATTCCCTGGTGGTCCAGTGGTTAGGACTCTGAGCTCTCATTGACAAGGGCTGGGGTTCAATCCCTGGTCGGGGCACTAAGATCCCAAAAGCCAGACGGCGCGGCCAAACAAAACCAAACAAAACCTACACACGTGATAAAAACTATACAGACCTAAATACATGCACAAAGGTAAAACTGCGGTTATCTCAATAAGATCCATGGGCTGTGTCAATGTCAATTTCCTGGTTGAGTTATTGTTCTATCCTTTTACAAGATGTTACCATTGGGGAAGACTGGGTAGAGGGTACACAGGATTTCTACTGTTTCTTACAACTGCATGGGAATCTACGATTAGCTTAAAACTAAAAAGTTGAATTAAAAAAATAACCATTTCTTATTTTTTTCATTTGTGATGAACAAGCAGGCAACATTCCACATTATTTTCGCAAATAAAGGAAATATGTACAACTGTCCAGGTGATAAAACCAATATAAACATAATAAAAGCCATCATTTTATCGAGCACTTTACTGTGCTAACATCTGATGAGGCTTATCTCGTGTAATCCACATGAAGGAGATCCTGCTATTACTCCTAGTTCACAGAGAAGGGTCTGAGGCAAAGAGGTGAAATGACTTCCCCAAGCTACCCGACTAATAACTGGAGCCAAATTCACACAGGCAAGAATAAGTCCTTCCAGCAATAAAGTTAAATGATTCTATTTCTGTTCAGCTGTCCTGACCCTAAAAATTAAAAAAACTTCCATCAAGCACAGAGAACAAATGTTAGTTAAACAGGCATGGTGATAAAGGATCACGTAATTTAATACAGGTCTTTCATACATTACATGGTCCACTTCCCTCATTTTACAGATAAACAGGGGTGAAGTGACCTGCACAGGTGAGTCGCTGTTCCCAGGCCCGCACAGCATATTTAAAAGTATATCTCGGTTCAGGATTTTTTTAAAAAGGAAATAGATTGCTAAATGATGTCAGAGACCGAGACGTCTGGTTCATTTAGGTGCTCAATATTTACAGGACCAATAAATGAATGAATGGCACGTCAGGAGCCACATATATGGAAGTCCAGAAGACTGCAGGCTATCAGGCGCTGCCATGACAGAGCCTCCGTCCGGAGAGGGCTAGGGCTGGACAGCGAGGGCCCCTCCAGTGGCCACTCCACTGGGTGGGAGCCGGGTTGGAGATCGCGGTGCCCTGAAAGGTGCCTCGAGGGACGTGGGGCGGGGCTGAGGCGGGGTGGGGTCGAGAGGGGCGGGGCCTGGCGGGAGGAAGGGAGGCCGCTGGGCTTGCCCAAACGACAGTTTTCACCACAATCATCCCGACTTTCTTCCGCTGCCCCGAGTCCGCTCGGCGGTGAAGATCGAGGACGCCCAACTCGGTGGGCCAGATTTTCAGTCAGCCTAGCGATGGGAGAAGGGAAAGGGCAGAGGGTAACCACCACCCTAGACCCGCCCCACCCGGGGCCTAGCTCCTCTACTCACAGCGTCAAAAGGAGGGAACGAGCTAGCGTCCCCAGCGTCTACGGCGGCGTCGGCTTGCCCTTCGCCCTCCGCCGTGCGAGTCCATTGGCCACTGGCGGCTGCTCTCACGTGGGGCGAAAGAGCGCCCCTCATTGGCCTCTGCCTGGGGGCGGGGCTAGAGAGCTCTTGGACCTGGGCAGTGTAGGGCTCAAGGGCCGGCTCCTGGGGCTTGAGACCGGGGAGGAGGCGCAGGCGATGGTGCCAGCGCTACGTTACCTAGGCAGTGTCTACGGACTGGCCCGCGGGGGGTTTCCCGGGGGCTTCTCCGCGGCGTGCGCGCCCGCGCCGGGGAAGCCCTGGCTGTTGTGCCAAGGTGGCCGCAAAGCCAGCACCAGGTGAGTAGCCGCTGGGCCGACCCCCCGCGGTCTGCGCTGCTTCTCTCAGAGGTGCCTCGTGCTGGACCTCTGCCCCTGCGCTACTTCCCTGTCCTCGGCGTGGGAGAGGGTCGGGATCCTGTGAATCCCGGGCTCCAACCTATGATGCCAGGAGCTACCTGCCTGGATCATCTGTAGGTTTGTGGGCGAGAGGAAAAGAATAAGAAAGGCAGTGTTGAGTAGAGGTCAAGAACAGTTCTGGCTCTTAATACAACCCCACCACTTCCTATTCAACTCTGGGCGGGTTAGTTAAGCTCCTTAAAGGCTCAGTTGTGAATAGGATCCTAGTCTCTCGCGTTAAGTGGTCGTTTTGAGGATTAAAGGACCTAACACACTGTAAGCAATCAAATATGCTGTTTATTCGCTGGCCTTCCTGATGTTACTTGGAAGATCTAAAACCAGTCTTATATCAGTCAGTTTCTGGCACACGCATGCTGCATAGAGTTGCCCCTGTGAGAAGCAGCTCAGTTAGTTGCTAATTAAACCCTGCAGAATTCGGCGCCCTGTGATTTGAAGTTTGGAGACTACATTCGCCACTACTGTTTTTCTCTGCTCTCCGTAGAGGGAATGGTTTATGCGAAGGTTTCAAAGCTGGGAAGGTCTTGGCTGTTTCGGGAACTAGAATGTGGGCAAGATGAGTGTGACTAGAGCTTAGCGGAGCAGAGATGGTGTGGAATGACATCGGAGAGGGGCTGCATCACAGCACAGTTTTTGTTTTAAATACACGTGAAATTTTATTCTAAGAGCTCTGGGAGGCTTTTAAAGGGTTTTAAAGAAGTGATTAAATGTTGATGTTTGTGAAGTTGATTCTGGCTGCTGTGTATTAGTGGATTGGAGGGGGATTAGAGTGGGATAGGATTTGTGATTCATCGTGGGGGTTTGTAGACAGCTCTTTTGGGAACCTTTTTTTAAGGGAAGAAAGGTAAGGTTAGTGAAGGTTTTGTTTATACTTTTTATTTTTATTTTTTCTTTTTATACTTTTTATTTTGAAATGATTATAGATCCATAGGAAGTTGCAAAAGAACAGAGAGCTCTCATGTACCCTTCTTCACCCAATTTACCCCAGCAACACCTTACCTGACTGTAATAACAGTATCAAAACCAGGAAATTGACATTAGCACAATCCACCGGCCTTATTCAGATTTTCATCAGTTTTAGAAGTTTTGCACTTGTTTGTTTTTTTAAAATTGCTTTACTACTTGTAGACCTTTATTCTATATAACATTTATTATCTTAAAATATTATTTTGAAAATGTTATTGAAATTAGGTAGATAGATTTGGGGGAGATTTACTTCTTTATAATTTTGAGTTTTCCCATCCATGAACGTGGCATATCTTTTCATTTATGCATACTCATTTGTTATTTAAAGTTTATTTATTTGTTGATTTTTTGGCTGCACTGGGTCTTCATTGCTGCGCAGGGGCTTTCTCTAGGTGCGGAGAGCAGGAGCTACTCTTTGTTGCGGTGCGCGGGCTTCTCATTGCGGTGGCTTCTCTTGTTGCGGAGCACGGGCTCTAGGCCCGCGGGCTTCAGTAGTTGTGGCACACGGGCTTAGTTGCTCCGCGGCACGTGGGATCTTCCTGGACCAGGGCTGGAACCCGTGTCCCCTGCATTGGCAGGCGGATTATTAACCACTGCGCCACCAGGGAAGTCCCTCATTTGTTATTTAATAGAGTTTAAAATTTTTCTCTGTGAAGTTCTTTTTTCTTAGGTTAATTCTTTGATTCCCTTATTGCTTTGTTGCTATTGTAAATAGTATCTTATTTTATATTATTCTTTCAGTTGGATCTTACTGGTATAGAAGATGCTTCTTTGTACTTCTTATCCAGTTTTGGAACCTGGTTCATATGTGCTGCATAAAATGAGTTAGGGAGTTCTCAGCCTTTTAAATTTTTCTGGAATATCTTTAATGATAGAGATTATCCGTTCCTTGAAAGTTTGGTAAAATGTATGTGTGTGTGTGTTTAGGTAGAAAGCTTTTGATGACTATTTTAATTTATAGTGATTGATTCAAAATTTCTATTTCTTTATGCCTCAGTAATTTTGCCCGAGGAGTCCCCCACCCCGTTTCATCTATGTTATCAAATTTATTAGCATATAGATCTCCATGATACTCTTTGATTATGTTTAAGATCCTTGTTGTGTCTTTATGTATTTTTTCTTTATTATTCTGTTTTATTTATTTGTGTCATCTCACTTTTTCTCCCATTACTCTTGCCAGAGGTTTGTCTACATTATAAATCTTTTCAAATAAAAGATTTTTCTTCTTTATTATATTTTGTTATATTATAAGTTTGTTTTATATATTATATATACATGTTTATATATGTTTGTTTTTCTTTATTATATTTAACTTCTTGAGTTGTTAACTCATTAATTTTTGGTCCAGGAGTATTTTTAGGAGTGTCTCCTGCATGTTAAAGTTCCTGTAGCCTTGTTTACCCAAGAATATCTTTATTGAATCCTCATATTTAAATGGGATAGTTTGGGCTTCCCTGGTGGTGCAGTGGTTAAGAATCCACCTGCCAATGCAGGGGACATGGGTTTGAGCCCTGGCACGGAAGATCCCTCATGCCGTGGAGCAGCTAAGCCCATGTGCCACAACTACTGAAGCCCACACGCCTAGAACCCATGCTGCACAACAAGAGAAGCCACGACAATGAGAAGCCCGCACACCGCAACAAAGGGTAGCCCCCGCTCACCACAACTAGAGAAGGCCCGTGTGTAGCAACGAAGACCTAAGACAGCCAAAAATAAAAACAACTAAATAATAAATTTAAAAAAATAAAAGAGCTAGTTTAACTCTAGGTTAGAAGTCCTTTTTTCTCCTTGAAAATAATGCTCCATTGACTTCTTGATTTCAGTGTCACAATTTAGAAATCTGATTTCAAGTGAATTCATGTTTTTTTTAATTTATATTTTATATTGGAGCATAGTTGATTACCAATGTTGTGTTAGTTTCAGGTGTACAGCAAAGTGATTCAGTTATACATATACTTGTATCTATTCTTTTTCAAATTCTTTTCCCATTTAGCTTATTACACAATATTAAGCAATGTTCCCGGTGCTATACAGAAGGTCCTTGTTGGTTATCTGTTTTAAATGTAGCAGTGTGTACATGTCAATTCCAAACTCCCTCCCTCCCCCGACCCTGCCCCCTGGTAACCATAAGTTTGTTCTCTAAGTCTGTGAGTCTGTTTCTGCTTTGTAAATAAGTTCATTTGTATCATTTTTTTTAGATTCTGTATATAAGCAATGTCATATGATATTTGTCTTTCTCTGTCTGATTTACTTCACTTAGTATGATAATCTCCAGGTCCATCCATGTTGCTGCAGATGACATTATTTCATTCTTCTTAATGGCTGAGTAGTATTTCATTTTATATATGTACCACATCTTTATCCATTCATCTGTCAATGGACATTTAGGTTGCTTCCATGTCTCGCTATTGCAAACAGCGCTGCAATGAACATTGGGGTGCATGTATTCTTTTGAACCATGTTTTTCAACAGATACATGTCCAGTAGTGGGATTGCTGGGTCATATGGTAGTTCTATTTTAGTTTTTCAAGGAACCTCCACACTGTTCTCCATAGTGGCTGTACCAAATTATATTCCCACGAACAGTGCAAGGTTCCCTTTTCTCCACACGCTCTCCAGCAGTTATTGTTTGTAGATTTTTTTGATGATGCCCATTTTGACTGGTGTGAGGTGATATCTCATTGTAGTTTTGATTTGCATTTCTCTAATAATTAGCGATGTTGAGCATCTTTTCTTGTGCCTGTTGGCCCTCTGTATGTCTCCTTTGGAGAAATGTCTATTTAGCTCTTCTGCCCAATTTTTGATTGAGTTGTTTGTTTTTTTGATATTGAGTCACGTGAGCTGTTTGTAAATTTTGGAGACTAATCCCTTGTTGGTTGCATCATTTACAAATATTTTCTCCCATTCTGTGGATTGTCTTTTCATTTTGTTTATGATTTCCTTTGCTGTTACATGCACTCATTTTTGTATGTGTTACTATGCAATTTAACCGCATGTGTTAATTTGTGTAACTGCCACCAAAATTAAGAAACAGAAATGTTCCATCAATACAGAGATTGTGTTACCTACCCCTTTATATTCACATCCCATTTCTCCACCCTTTCTAATGCTTGGCAACCACGAATCTATTTTTCAGCTCTATAATTTTGTCAGTTTGAAAATGTTATATAAGTGGAATCACACAGTATGTAACCCTTTGAAATTGGCTTTTTTCATGCAGCATAATGTCCTTGTGATCTATCTAAGGTGTTGCCTGTGTTGATAGTGGGTTCCATTTAATTGTTGAGTAGCAGTCTATGATATGGATGTATTGCAGTTCGTTTAACCACTCCCCAGTTGAATGGTATCTGGGCTGTTTCAGTTTTTGGCTATTATGAATAAAGCTGCTATGAACAGTTATGTACAGATTTTTGTAGGAATGTAAGTTTTCATTTCTCTGGGATAAATGCCAAAGAGTGCAGTTGTAAGACATGTAGTAAGCACATGTTTAGTTTTTTAAGAAACTGCCATACTGTTTTTCCAGAGTGGCTGTACTATTTTACATTCCTACCGGTAACGTGTGAGTTGATCCAGTTCCTCTCATCCTCACCAGTGTTTGTTGTTATCACTTTTTTTTAAAAAAAGCCATTCTGATAGGGGTGTAGTGATGTCTCATTGTAGTTTTAGTTTGCATTTTCCTAATGACCAAAGGTATTGAACATATTTTCATGTACTTATTTGCCATCTGTATATCTGTCCTCTTTGATGAAATGTTTGTTCATATCTTTTGCCTATTCTCTAAATGACTTGTTTGTTTTAATAAATTTATTTATTTATTTATTTATTTATGGCTGCATTGGGTCTTCATTGCTGTGTGCGGGCTTTCTCTAGTTGCAGAGAGCAGGGGCTACTCTTCGTTGTGGTGCACGGGCTTCTCATTGCGGTGGCTTCTCTTGTTGCAGAGCAAGGGCTCTAGGCACGCGGGCTCAGTAGTTGTGGCTCGTGGGCTCTAGAGTGCAGGCTCAGTAGTTGTGGTACACAGCTTTAGTTGCTCTGCAGCATGTGGGATGTTCCCAGACCAGGGCTCGAACCCATATCCCCTGCATTAGCAGGTGGATTCTTAACCACTGAGCCACCAGGGGAGTCTTGGCTTGTTTATTTTTAGAGTTCTTAATATATATTTGAGAAATGTGTCCTTTGTCAGATATATGGTTTGCAAGTGTTTTCTCCCAGTTTGTTCATTGTCTTCTTATCCTCTTAACAGAGTCTTTTGCAGAGCAAAAGTTTTTAATTTTGATGAAGTCCAATTTATCTTTTTTTTTTCTTTTATGGGTTATGGTTTTGGTGTGAACTCTTCAAGTAGCCCTAGATACCAAAGATTTTCTCCTATGTTTTCTTCTAAAAGTTTTATTGTGAATATTTGATGATATTTAAAAACTGAATTTTTTGGTTAGAATAATGACATTGTGTGTGTGGTGTTTTTTTGTTTTTGTTTTTTTTTGCGTTATGCGGGCCTCTCACGGTTGCGGCCTCTCCCGTTGCGGAGCACAGGTTCCGGACGCGCAGGCTCAGCGGCCACGGCTCACGGGCCCAGCCTCTCCGCGGCATGTGGGATCTTCCCGGACCGGGGCATGAGCCCGTGTCCCCTGCATCGGCAGGCGGACTCTCAACCACTGCGCCACCAGGGCAGCTCTGTGTGTGTGTTTTTAAAGAGCCATTTTAGAAATAACATATTGAAATATTTACAGATGATGTTTAAGATTTAGATCGAAATAATACAATGCAGGAGGGGGTGAAAAAAAAATAAATGGGGTGAAGAAGCAAGATAGGCCACGTTCCTATAAAACCTAGATTTGTTGACTATGAGATCAGTGCTTATGGTAATCTTTTAAGCTTCTCATTTTAGATTTAGATAGACTATACATACCCTTTCTAATTTTTTAAATGATTATATAATCAGAGTTATTGCTAAAACTGGTTCTGAGCCCGTTTCTGGACCACTTATTTCCTTAAGTTTGATGTTCTCACTGACTGTTTCCTTCTCAGCAGAATAAAAAAATTATAAATTTTTGTACACTAGGTGTTAAAGACTTAATGTTAACTTATCCTCAAGAATATTGCACTTGAATTTTTAACGAATAGATGGTAGAGGAGAGAGTGTGATAGTTAACAGAGTAACCACTGATGTAGCCAGGGTGGGCAGAGTATTATAGAGACTTAGAGCAGCTTGGGCAACTAGCCACTCTGCCTGCTGGCTGTAGCTGATTATACATGCATGTGACTTTTAAAGGTTTCTTCGTTAGTATAAAGCCAAATATCACAAAGCCCAATAAACAGTTGATTTTAATGATTACTAATTAATACTTTGTCAGTTGATGATGAAAATGTCAAGTTTGATAAACTCTATTGTAAACATGCATTACTTTAAAGGTGGCTTTCTCTTAAAGCTCATTTGATGTAGTCATTATTGGTGGCGGAATTGTGGGGCTTGCCTCTGCCAGAGCACTCATCCTGCAACATCCAGCTCTTTCCATTGGTGTTCTGGAAAAGGAGAAAGATTTAGGTATGTATGTTCTCCGTGTCGCTTAACCTGAGCACCTGCTCATTTTGTCAGTTCTACATCTTTCATGCCGAATGTCGATGTTAGTGTCCCAGTTTGGATTCTTTAGAAAGTAGAGCCTAGGACTAGGATTTGGGTGTAGGTGATTTTTTTCAAGGTTATTCAAGGAGGCAGGAGTGAGGAGGTGGGGAGAGTAAACAGGGAAGGAGGAAAAACCTTGGGAGGGTGCGTTATCTAGCTTGCAGCTGTGAGCTTAATTCCACTGAGACCTCCGAGGAGCTACCTAATGTTTCCCAGGATTGTGCTCATTTATCCATCGGCTTCTGTCCCTTTGGTTGAGGATTGTCCATAGGGTGTTGAGTCCCTCTGCCCCCAAATATTAGAAAAGACCCTGGAGCAGAAGGCAGAGAGCTGTAGTGGACCCTTGAAGTGGTTTGCTGGTGGTGAGGAGGGCGGTTTGTGCACCAAAGTTGTAGCTGAAGTCAGAGATGGGCTGGAGGGATGTGACACAGACACCATGGTTGGGTGCTACGGGAGGCTAGAAGTGCTCTGACTATAAGAACAAACTCAGGCAGAATTTTAAATAGTGGTCTCTAATAGCTTCAACTGTAAGTGTATTCCCCCACTTCTTAAGTTTTGAATGAGTCATGTAGTTTCTCTTAACCTGTTTCTCTTGTTCCATAGCTATTCATCAGACTGGACATAACAGTGGTGTCATACATAGTGGAATTTATTATAAACCTGAATCTCTGAAAGCTAAGTTATGTGTACAAGGCGCAGCCCTCATCTATGAGTACTGTAACCAAAAGGGAATTTCCTACAAGCAATGTGGCAAGGTATGGCATTTTACTAGGGCCTTGACTTATTTATAAATAACATTTACTTAGTAATCTTAAATGTTGATTTAAAAAATGCCTGGCTTTTCTTTCTCTGTATCCATGTAATTCGCAAAATCTAGATGTTTCATATAAATGGGATCATACAGTATGTTGTCTTTTGTGATTGGCTTCTTTCACTTGGCATAGTGTTTTCAAGGTTCGTTCATCTTGTGGCCTGAATCAGTACTTCATTCCTCCTTATACTCCATTGTATTGGTATACCACATTTTGTTTATCCAGTTATCAGTTGATGGACATTTGGGTTGTTTCCACTTTTTGGCTGCTATTAATAATGCTGCTATGGACATTTATGTACAAGTTTTTGTACGGACCTATGTTTTCATTTTTGTCAGGTATATACCTATGAGTGGAGTTGCTGCGTCATATGGTTACTACATGTTTAACATTTTGAGGAAGTGTGAAACTGTTTTCCAAAGTGCTGTACTACTTTACATCCCCATCAGCAGTTAACGAGGATTCCAGTATCCTCACATCCTCATGAACACCTGTTATTGTCTGTTTCATTTTAGCTATCCTAGAGGATGTGAAGTGCTATATCATTGTGGTTTTTATGTAATTAAACATAGTAATTAATGATGTTAAGCATCTTTTCATATACTTATTGACCATTCATTTATCTTCTTTGGAGAAATATCTATTCAAATCTTTTGCTCATTTTAAAATTGAGTTCTTTGTCTTTATATTGTTGATTTGTATGTGTTATTTATATATTCTGGATATATAAATATCCCTTATCAGCTATATGATATTTACTAAAATACTACTAAAATATTAAAATATATATTTTTAAATAAAATAGTAGCAATAGTAATGATGGTATTTTAAATATTACTAAATATTTTCTCCCATTCTGTAGATTTTCTTTTTTACTTCTTGATGGTATCCTTTGAAGCACAGAAACTTTCAATTTTGATGAAGTCTAGTTTATCTTTTCTTTTATTGCTTATACTTTTAGTGTCATATCTAAGAAATCATTGCCTAACTTTAGATCATGAAAAATTGCTCCTACATTTTCTTCTAATGTCAAAGCCTTAGCTCTGATGTTTAGATCTGTGATAGTTTTTTTCCCCCAAATGAGTTGGTTTAATTCTGAGTGTTATAGAATTGGAGCTAGAACAAAGACTGAAGAACAGACTTTGGCAGGATTCTGGGCTGGGTTTACTCTGACCTCACACCTAAGATAGAAATGGCTGAATGAGAAGAACTAAAGAGAAGATGAACCACTGTATGATTTCATTTTTTTAAACTTTAACAAAAGTTTGTTCTTAAATGTATAGCAGGCTTCAAGATAGCACTTCATTCTAACTACAGGTGGCAACAGATGTTATGGCAGGGAATCCAGTTATTTAAACAGGAATGGAATTAAGGATCACCATTGCCTCTGGCACAAGGAACAGCTTACTTTTTGACAGATTTCTTAATTCCAGCTGTCGCCAGGAGGGCCTTCCTTGCAGCCTCAAGTTTCTTTTGCTTCTCTTTTTGTTTCTGCTTGAGTGCCTTATCATCCTCATGCAACTTTGTGGCCTGCTTCTTGGGCTGCTTCACGTGCTTCTTACCACCTTTTCAGATGGCCTACTGTCCCTTCCCCAGACCCCACCACCAGAAGCAGAGCTTCTACCCCTACACGTATTCCTCCAGCGTAGGTTCACTTTTTTTTTTTTGTGGTACGCGGGCCTCTCACTGTTGTGGCCTCTCCCGTTGCGGAGCACAGGCTCCGGACGCGCAGGTCCAGCGGCCATGGCTCACGGGCCCAGCCGTTCCACGGCATGTGGGATCCTCCTGGACCGGGGCACGAACCTGTGTCCCCTGCATCGGCAGGCGGACTCTCAACCACTGCGCCACCAAGGAAGCCCTAGGTTCACTTTTTAATTAATTTTGGTATATGGTGTGAGGAAGAGTTCCAACTTCATGCTTTTGCATGTGGATATCCAGTTGTCTCAGCACCATTTGTTGAAAAAACTATTCTTTCTACATTGTTTGGCACCTGTATCAAAAATCAGTTGAGCATAAGTGTAAGAAGGTTTATTTAGGATTCTCAATTCCATTCCATTGATGTGTGTCTATCGTTATGCCAGTACCACACCATCTTGTTTACTGTAGCTCTTTATTTTTTGAAATCAATGAGTGTGAGTCCTCCAACTTTGTTCTTTTTCAAGAGTGTTTTGGCTATTCTGGGTCCCTTGCATTTCCATATGAATTTTAGGGTCAGTTTGTCAGTTTCTCCAAAAAAGGCAGCTGGAATTTTTGTTAGTGAGCGATTATATTGAATCTATAGATCAGTTTGGGGAGTATTGCCATCTTAACAATATTAAATTTTGCAAACCATGAACTTGGGATGTCTTCCTACTTATTTAGATCTTCTTTAATTTCTTTCAACAATTTAAAAACATTTTTCATTTTACAGGCCTTGCACTTCTTTTGTAATTTTATTCCTTGATATTTTATTCTTTCTGATGCTTTTGTGAGGGGAATTGTTTTCTTAATTTGTTTGGTTTATTCATTGCTAATGTATAGAATATGATTGATTTTTGTGTATTGATCTTTATCCTTCAACTTTGGTGAACTCGTTTTTTAGTCTAATAGTTTTTCGTGTGTGTGTGTGTGGATTCCTTAGGATTTTCTATATGCAGGATCATGTCATCTGCAAATAAGATAGTTTTACTTTTTTTCTTGCCTAATTTACCTGGGTAGAATCTCTAATACAATGTTGGATAAAAGTAGTGAAAGTGGATATCTTTGTGTTGTTCTTGATTTTACGGAGAAAGCATTCAGTCTTTCACTATTAAGTATAATGATAGCTGTGGGTTTTTTGTAGATGCCCTTTATCAGACTGAGGAAGTTCCTTTGTACCTGCAGTTTGTTGATTTTAATCATGAAAAGGTGTTGGATTTTCTCAAATGCCTTTTCTATGACTCTTGAGGCAGTCATGTGGTTTTGTCCTTTATTCTATTAATATGAATTTATTACATTAATTGACTTTTGGATGTTAAATAGATCTTGCATTCATGCAATAAATCCCACTTGGTCATGGTATATAATCCTTTTTATATGTCGCTGTGTTCAATATACTAGTATTTTGTTCAGAATTTTTATATCAATACTCATAAGGGATATTGATATGCAGTTTTGTTTTCTTTTGATATCTGTGTCTCGTTTGAGTGTTAACTAGCCTTATAGAATTAGGAAGTGTTCCCTTCTCTTCTGTTTTTTGGAAGAGTTTATGAAGAATTGGTATTAATTCTTCTTTAAACATTTGGTAGCATTCATGAGGCCTGAGCCTTTACAGTTACTAATTCCATTTCTTGTTATGGGTCTATTCAGATACTCTTTTTCTTCTTGAGTCAGTTTCAGAAGTTTGTGTCTTTTTAAGAATTTTCCCGGGCTTCCCTGGTGGCGCAGTGCTTGAGAGTCCGCCTGCCGATGCAGGAGACGCGGGTTCGTGCCCCGTTTCGGGAAGATCCCACATGCCGCGGAGCGGCTGGGCCCGTGAGCCATGGCCGCTGAGCCTGCGCGTCCGGAGCCTGTGCTCCGCAAATGGGAGAGGCCACGACAGAACAACAAAAAAAAAAAAAAAAAAAAAAAAAAAAAAAGAATTTTCCCATTTCATATAGATTATCTAATTTGTTGCATACAGCTGTTCATAATATTTCCTTATAACTCTTCTTCATGTAATTTTTAAGAATAAAAGTTCATTGTCACCATTAAAGATGCTATGAAGATTTTTTTTTTAATGATGTGGGAAAATGGTCCTGATATAGTGTTAAGTAAAAAAAAGCAAGATATAAAACTGTATTTACAGTTTTTATGGTTGGGTTATGAGGTTTTTTTTTTTTTTTTAAATCCTTTAAGCCAAAGGCACCAGACAACATCCATAACATCCACCTTTGAGAAACATACCATGCCCCATGCCTACCCATAGGATGATTTTGAGCTCTGTAACTCCTACTCCTTTCTGGAGCCTTGAACACTACTTCATATTCCCTCTTCACATCAAATCACATCATTGCTTCTAATCCATCTCAGCTCAGCTCCAGGTGTTAATTTACAGATTGCTGCTTCCAGGCCACAACGGTGTCAATGTGACTTAATGACCTGATTTCAGAGTTTTCCTGGTTCAGTCACTGATTTGTGCCTCTGAGTGTCTGCCCCTCCCCAACTTATTTTTTTTTTTTTTTCAAGTTTGAAGTCCTTTTATTTCTTTAAATTGAGGTATAATTAACATATAATATTATTATTAGTTTCAGGTGTACAACACAATGATTTGATATTTGTATGTATTGTGAAATGATCACCACCATAAGTCTAGTTAACATCTGTCACTATTCACAGTAAGAAAAAGTATTTTTTTCTTGTGATGAGGACTTTTAAGATCTATTTTCTTAGCAACTTTCAAATATGCAATACACAATTATTAACTATAGTCACCATGCTGTACATTACATCCCTATGACTTGTTTATTTTATATTTGGAAGTCTGTACAGAGTTTCTAAAGAGTTCTTTATATATTCTGCATATTAGAGCCTTATCAGCGATAATGATTTGCAAGTATTTTCTCCCATTCAGTGGGTTATCTTTTCACTTTCTTGATAGTGCCCTATGATTCCATGTATATTTTTAAGGTTAATTATTTGTTGATTTAAATAACCTTTACACCTTGATTAAAAGTATTACTTTATGGAGTTCGGTTGACTCCTTGCTATGAAATAGTGATTTTTGAATTCTGATGTACTTGTGAATATCATCTGTGCTTTCCTTTGCTGGTAGCTGTTAAGTAAGAAACTACCTCAAACAGATACTTTGCCCAGAAATAAATAGAAAAAGAGTCTTGATGAATTTTCTGTTTTTCTCCTCTGCAACAGAATACATTAGTAAATACTTTGAAATGTACTTTATTCCAAAAACTAAAATAGTTTTCTGTTAGTGATATTCCATTATACTGAATATTGCCTGTCTTTCTGATGTACTGGTTTTTGTTTAGTTTTGTTTCGCTTTTGTTTTTTGTTTGGTTTTTAATGTAAAGACTAAGCAACCTGTGCTTCTTTCCCCTCTGGGATTGAGGGAGTGATGGTGATACTTCTGGCCAAGGTGCACGTAGCAACTGTCATAGCAGATGTGACAATTGAGGCTACATCTCACCTTTGTTTTAATGCAGTCTTAAGACAAATTTTTTTGGTGGAGGAAGAAAGTGAAGTCATGAAGAAAGGGAGAAGTAGATACATGAAGCAAAAACAGTTTTAAAAAATCAACCCAATTTGAATCATACACTAATTTATGATTTTCTATTGATTTTATCTGTCATAGTTGATGATGTATTTAACTCTATTCATGTTCTTTATCTTTTTTCTTTTTAAGCTTATAGTAGCTGTTGAACAAGAAGAAATTCCCAGACTTAAGGCCCTGTATGAGAGAGGCCTGCAGAATGGTGTCCAGGACCTGAGGCTGATCCAGCAAGAGGACATAAAAAAGAAGGAGCCATATTGTAGGGTAAGTGATTCACTAACCCCACACACAGGCTCACAGGGATAGGGCTCAGTCCTGTGACATGGAGGCTGATGGTGAGTTTATAGTAAGCAGGAATCATAGAGACAGTTAAATAATCCTGTTACAGAAGCATTAAGGTGCCAGACACAAGAGGGCATTGCCACAAGCTCTGGACACCTGATTTCTTCTTTTCCTACAAGAAACTACCAGGTCCTGAAGAACACAGGCAAAAGCAAGAGGAGGTCTGAGACTCTATGGCATGTTTGGAAACCACTGAGTGGTGAGATGTGTTTGGATCATAGGATGTGTAGCAAGAGATAATAGATGAGACTGGGAAGGCAGAATTAGCCCACATAAAGGGCTTGATATCATATCCATGCTGATAACTTTGAAGTTTATCCAGTAGGCATAGGTAGCCACTAAAAATTTTTGAGGAGGGCGGCTACAATATTGGATCTGTTTCAGGAGGGTAGGTTATAGAGTTTCTGGCTTAAAACATGCTGTGGGGAAAACCAGATGTTCTTTCTTGTATTTGTGATAGAAACACGAATAATAATGTAATAGTTACTCTGCATATCAACTTCCCTTGATAGCCTTTTAGAGGCTATCCGTCCAACTCTCATTCCACTGACTGTTCCAATGAATTGCTGTATCTCCTGTTCCCCATTCTCCAGTGTTTTAATGACATATTCCAATAGCTGGACTGTGGGTACCTGTCTTAGCGAGTGTGACCTTGAACTAACTGTCAGGCAGTGCTTATCAAAAGCTTGCTTTAGAGAAGCACTATTTAAGGGAGAGAGCCTGGATGATATGTAGACCATTCTTTCTTGTACATCTCTCCAGACCATCAGATTGTAGTACACCTACACTGTAGTGTTTTTCTCTCCCCATCCTACTTCTTGACCCCAGATTACTCTCCTTGAGTTGTGTTTTGGTTTTATGGCATCAGCCTATGGAGAAAGTCATTGTGTCACTCATTGAGGCCTCTACTATAAGGAGGTGGTTGAGGACATACGTTCACTGTCAAACAACATCTCTCTGAGAACACTCAGGAGAAATTTCAGACTCCAGTTCTAAGAATAATTTTGTTTTTCCTGAGCACAGTTGGCTTGTTTTTATCTATGGACACTGAATTCTTTAACTGTATTGTCCTGTTTGCCTTGGCTCTAAGCAGAAACACATTTGTGCCCTACTCTTGCCAAATATCTAGAGCATTAAGCATACATTTTTATTTTCATGTACTAACTTTGCTCTTTGTTTCATTCTTATCTTTCCACCTTTGTTTTCTATATGCTCTGATTTTTTGGAACTTTTTATTGAATCACAGCATACATCCAAAATCATAAATGTATACAGCTTGATGAATTTTCGTTAAGTGTGATCAGCATCCAGATCAACAAACAGAACATTACCAGCTTTTCAGTATTTCCCTCATGCCCCCTCCTAGACACTACCTTTCCCTTAAGGATGACCACTGTTCTTTTACATCATAGATTTTTGAATTTTGTGTAAGTAGAATCATATAGTATGTGCTCGTTTGTGTCTGGACTTCTTTTATTCAGTATTGTTTATAAAATTCATCCATATTATTGCATGTAGTTATAATTTGTTGTCATTGCTGTATAATAATGCTTTGTATGAATATAGCATGGTTCTTTATACTGTTGTTGGGCGTTTTGGGTAGTTTCCAATTTGGAGCTCTTGCAAATAGTGCTACTAAGAACATTCTAGCACATCTATTTTAGTGAACACATGTACACACTTTCGTTGGGGATATACCTCGGAGGGAAATTATGGTCATAATTTATATATATGTCTGGCTGTGGCAGGTACTGCCAAAGAGTTTTCCATAGCATTTGTCCCAAATAATACTCTTATCAGCAGTGTATGAGAGTTACAGTTGCTACTTATCTTCACCAATACTTGATATTGTTTGTTGTTTTCATTTTAGCCATACTGGTGGCTATGTAGTAGTATAATATTATAGTTTCCCTGTTGACTCATAAAATTGTACACCTTTTCATATGTTTACTGGCCATTTGGATATTTTCTTTTGTGAAGTAACTAAGTCCTTTGCCCATTTTTCTATTGGGTTGACTGTCCTTCTTAACAATTATTAATTCTTATTAATTTTATAAGTTCATTATATAGTCTGAATATGTGTCTTTTGTTATATATATATATATATATATATATAGATAGATAGATAGATAGATACACAATAGATATTTTCTATGACTCTGTGGCTTGTGTTTTCACTCTTAATAGTGTCTTTAGATGAACAGAGGTTCTTAGTCTTAATGTAATCATTTAATCAATTTATGCATATATTTCTCTTTTATGCTTAGTGCTTTTTTGTACTCTGAGAAATCTTTGCCTATTTCAGCATCAGGAAGATATTCTCCTATGCTTTTTTTCTAAAAGCTATGCTGTTTTACCTTTCGCATTTAGATCTACAATCCATTTGGAATTGATTTTTGTTTATGGTATAAGACAGGGGTCAAGGTACAGTTTTTTCCCCTTATATGTAGATATCCAGTTAGCCCAGCACCATTTATCAAAAAGACCATTATTTCCCCACTGCACTGCAGTGTTACCTTTGTGATACCAGGTGACTATATATAGGTGGGCTCTCTGTCTGGACTCTTCTCTTCTGTTGTCTCTTCTTGTACCACGACCATAATGTCTTAGTTACTATAGCTTTTCAATAGGTCTAGACATCTGGTTGAGTAAGTCCTTCAATTTTGTTCTTCTTCAACATTGTATTGCCTATTCTTGGATCTTTGCATTTCCATATACATTTTAGAATTAATTTGCTAAAGTCCACAAGATAACCTGTTGTGATTTTGATTGAGATTGCACTGAATATGTAGGTTGACATATTTGCAGACAGTTGACATATTTACAATTTTGAATCTTCCAATCCATGAACATGGATCACTCCATTTATCTGAATCTTTAATTTATTGAAAAAAATGTATTACAGTTTTCAGTGTAGAGGTCTTACATGTCTCTTAGGTTTATTTCTAGGTATTTGATTTTTTATACTCTCATAAATAGTATTGTTATTTAAAGTTTATTTTCTACTTATACATTACAGATATATGGAAATCAAATTGGTTTTTGACCATGTATTCATCTTGGTTGTTGAATTCACTTTATTGATTCTAATAGTTTGTCTATAAATTCTTTTTTTTTTTTTTTCGGCCGCACCATATGGCATGTGGGATCTTACTTCCCCAACCAGGGATCGAACACATGCCCCCTGCAGTGGAAGTGTGGAATCTTAACCACTGGACCACCAGGGAAGTCCCAATTCTTTTGTATTTTCTATGTACAATCATGTCGTCTGCAAATAATAACTTATTTCTTCCTTTCCAACCCATATACTTGTCTGGCTCAATATTTAATGCTAGCATATATTGTTTTGTATGTGTTTCTTGTTTGTTTGTTTTTACAGGCTGCTTCAAATCCTTTCACAAAAAGACAAGATAGAAATAGATTTTTTTTCCCTTAAGTTATCTGTAGTTGTGCAGTTAAAGTTAGATCAAAATATTTGATTTTCTTAATTAGTATGAAGTTCCCAAGAGACTAGGAATCCAAACAGTGTTAAATGAGTTCTTCCTGCAGAGAAAGTCATAGCATCTTCAACTCCAGAAAACCTCACCCTTCCCTCCCCTCAGACTCAGTCAGAATAATCAAAGTGTTTAACTTGTGGGAGTAGGTCTTCTTCTCCCTTTTCCTCTCCCCATGCATTTCTTATCTCTCTGAGATGGTGAATGAATGACTGATTTTTTTAAAAAAAGAAGACACCTTCACTGAATATCTAATTTTGGCTATTTCTTTCAGGCTTTGGGCAAATGCTACACGGTCTTAAGCCAGGATTGGCAAACTATGGCCTGTGGGCCAAATCCAGCCCACCACATGTTTTTAAAGACCTATAAGCTGTTTTAAATGGTTGAAAAAATTAAAAGAAGAATAATATTTTGTGACACATGAAAATTATATGAAACTCAAATTTCAGTGTCCACAAATAAATTTTTATTGGAGTACAATCATACTTATTCATTTATGTGTTGTCTATGGCTGCTTTTGTGCCAAACAGCCAACTCGAGTAATTGAAACAGAGATCCTAAGCCTCACATGGGCAAAAATATTTACTATCTGGCCCTTTACAGAAGAGATTACCAGCTCCTGATCAAACAGTAGGGAGCCACTGAAGGATTTAGGCAAGAAAATGATAGGCAAACTGTGCTAATTTAGGAAGGTTAATCAAGTTCTGGTACATAGGCTGGAATTGGACATGGGAGAGAGGGGAGCCTTGAGGTGGGAGGTCAAAGCCATTTATATTTATTTTTGGAAGGCAGCTATGCTCACCATGATACCATCAACACCACTTATTTATAGTTATTTTTAGACTACCTGATTTCTTTCTGCTACTCTTGAATATCATAGGTTAGTAATTTCTAGACTTCAGGGAATTTTGACATATTATTCTTTATTTTATCTCACTATATTCTGTCTTTTTTCTTTTTCCATAAAGTAGGATCTGACATAAGGTGAGCAGCAGAATGTGGTGGCTGAGAAGCCAGACAGACATAAATTTAAATCTCATATCTGCCTATTTAACAGCTGTTTACCTTGAGTGGGTTAAAATTGTTCTAAACCTCAGACTCCTCGTTTGTAAAATGCAGGTTGTTCTGAGAATTAAATACAGTGATATATGTAAGGCATCCAGCATATGTTAATCCTCAAGAAGTGGTAGATGTTATTTTGGGCTTATTTAAGCAGTAATTCTAGTGAATTCAAATTGGTTTTGTTTGAGATACTTGGGGACTTTTCATGAAATCTGTTAAGATAACTTAGTTATGTTTGTTCTTTTCCTCCCGCTTTACATTTTCCCCTTTTCCTGATGCTTTGCTTGTAACTCAATATTTTATTCTATTTCCTTTAAGCCATATCAATTCCTCTGCAGAGTAAAATAGGCTATTTCAAAACATTGT